GTTTCTTGGACTTCCAAGACAACAAAGAGTCTCCTAGTTTCTCACAGAAACTTGTTACTGGCCTCCTAGTTATCGGGCAAGTTGCCCAATCTGAGTCACAACAAGCCTGAAGTTGGTACTGACTTTCTACACTCAGCAATACTCCTTGACCTGGAATGCTTTTGATATAACTGACCACCCTCAAAGTTGTCTCCAAGTGTAATTTCCTTGGTTGCTGCATGAATTGACTCAATAGTTGTACTGAATAAGCAATATCAGATCTTGTGTTAGTGAGGTAAATTAATTTCCCAGTCAACCTTTGATAGCTTGTCTTGTCTTTTAACAACTCATCTTCTGAAGCCAACCTTTTATTTTGTTCTAAGGGAGTTGCAACATGCATTGCACACCCTAGTCCAGTTTCTTCAATTAACTCCAATGCACATTTCCTCTGGATTATAACTATTCCCTATTCTGATCTTAATATTTCTAAGCCAAGAAAATACCTTAGTTCACCAAGATCTTTCATCTGAAGTTTTTATTTAGAATTCCTTTGAGTTCTTCAGTAAATCCACTGTCATTTCCAGTTATCAAAAGATCATCCACATATATGAGCATTATGACTATTTTGCTTCCTTGTGACTTAGTGAACAATGAGTAATCAAACTTGCTTCGAGAATAACCTGCCATTAGAAGAGCCTTTGTCAGCTTCATGTTCAACTGTCTTGAAGCCTGCTTTAGTCCATACAAGGATTTTTGCAGTCTTTACACCCTGGTCTCCCCCTGACTGTATTGTATACATACCTCTGAAAAAGAGGCCATTGATGAATAGAGGCAAGAGCCAGGACTGTTCTGACAGTGATCAGCTTTGCCACAGGAGAGAAAATCTCAACATAATCAACCCCTTCTCTTTGAGTGTATCCTTTAGCAACAAGACGAACTTTAAACCTATCCACTTATCCATTCGAATTATATTTGATGTGATACACCCACTTACTTCCATTGGGAGTCTTATTAGAAGGCAGGGGAACCAATGACCAAGTATTATTGGATTCTAAAGCTAAAATCTCCTCATTCATGGCTTTAATCCATACAGGATTTTGAATGGCTTCATTATAAGTCTTAGGTTCAACTCAATAAGAGATAGAAGAAAGGTAAAGTTGAGTTTTAACAGGAAGATAAGAATAAGAAAGAAAATTAGAAATTAGATAAGTACCTAGAAGAGAGGAAGATTGGTAGAACTGTACATAATCATGTAACCAAGCAGGTTGTTTTTTGACCCTAGTAGACTGTCTAGGAGGGATAAAAATGCTACTTGATGAAGAATCATCAGAAACAATAGGTTGAGGTGAAGTTTGAGGTAAAAAAGAATCATTTGTTGAAGCTTGAGGTGATGCAAATTGGTCTGAAAACCCAGAAGGTATAGGAGAATTGGGCTGGGTTGTGTGAAAGGGCATGACCAGAAAATCTGAATCAGAAATTCCTTGAACATGAAAAAATAAGGAAGAAGAAGAAATTGGAAATTTAAAGGGGAAAATGTCCTCGTGGAACTTTACATCTCTATTGACAAAGAATGTTTGTTTTTCAAGATTAAATAGGAGGCAACCTTTTTTAGTGGCAGAATAACCTATGAAGATGGAATGTATTACTTTTGGGGAAAACTTATCCTTGTAGTTTGGTTGAGTGGCATAATATAAAGAGCCAAAAATTCTCATATGAGACAGATTAGGAAGTTTACCATGAAAGAGTTTAAAAGGGCTTTTGATATCTAAAGAAGAAGAAGGCAACATGTTAATGATATAACAGGTTGTGTTGACACACTCTCCCCAAAACTTAATAGGGACTTGGGAATGAAATTTGAGGGCTCTAGCTACCTCTAACAAATGTTTGTGTTTTCTTTTAGCAATACCATTTTGTTTAGGAGTATGAACACATGAACTTTGATGAACAATACCCAAGGAAGAAAAAAGGAAGAACATTCATTAGCAAAGAACTCAGAACCGTTGTTACTTTTAATGAACTTAATTGTGACTGAAAAATGATTTTTTACATAGGCAAAAAATTGTTTTAAAGAGAGGATTGCATCACTCTTAAGCTTCAACAAGAAAAACCAAGACATCCTTGTGTGGTCATCAACAATGGTGAGAAAAGATCTATAACCAATATGAGTGGAAATCCTATAGGGTCCCCATAGGTTAATATGTATTAAATCAAAAGGTTTAGATGCTCTATAAATACTTTGAGGAAAGGGTAACCTACACTGTTTAGCAAGAAGACAAATAGAGCATTTATGGACACTGTTAACATGAAACTTATAAGACTGTAAATATGGAATTTTATGTAAACTAGAGAAAGATGAATGCCCTAAACGAGCATGCCAAAGCTTTGTATTATTGATAGTTGAAAGGCTCATAGAATTTGAAAAACCAAATGCATGAGTACAAGAAAAAGAATTACAATGAGGAACAGAAAAAAAAATACCATAACCAAAAGTTGAAGAATAAAAAAAATACAGCCCGCGAGACTCTCTACCAATCCCCTTCATCTTTCCAGTGGAGAGATCGTGTAAAATGCAAAAGTCAGGGTAAAAGGAAACACTGCAATTAAGCTCTTTGGTTAGTTTGGAAACATATAGGAGGTTATGTGCAAATTTTGGAACAAACAAGACATTTGTAAGTGAATTATTCTGGTTAAGGCAAAAAGAACATGTATGTGTTATGGGAGCTGTTTGGCCATTAGGTAAGTGTACAAATCTAGAGTCTGATGTGCATGGAACAAGAGATATTAGTCTTTAAAAATTTGATAACATATGGTCAGTAGCACCTAAATCTAATATCCAATTGAAAGAAAGACTAGTGTTTGCAGAGTCAATACCTGCAGTATTTGCTGTTGGATCCACAGAAGGTGCCTTGTTCAAGAGGTGAAGTATCTGATCATATTGAGATCGTGTGAACATAGGAACATTGGAGGCAACATCTAGTTGTGACTCAGGACTCGACTGATTGAGAACCGAGAACAGATCGAGTAGAAGCTAAAGCCACCTGACTGCCTTTCTTCTTGGAGAACTTGAAATCAGCAGGGAATCTAATTAGTCGGTAGCAATTCTCACATTTATGCCCTCGACCTTACAGTAATCACACACACCAGAGAACTTATTTCTGTCAGTGTTCCCAGCAGAGTTAGAGTACATAGCCGAGACCTCAGAAATTGGAGAAATAGTAGAAGCGTGAATCCTCTGCGATTCCTCCTGAACCAGCATCGAATATGCAAGATTCACAGACGGCAATGGCTGCATAAGTAAGATCTGACTCCGTATAGCAGTGTACGTATCATTAAGACCCATGAGAAATTGAAATAATTTCTGCTGTGTGTAGTGTGCAGTTGTGCATTGTGAAATGACACAACCGCAAGGAGAAATCGTGGCCAGGCGTCATACTCGTCCCAGAGTAATTTCAATCGAGTGAAATATGCTGTTATTAAAGAATCACCTTGAGTTAGGAGTGTGATTTCACGGTGAAGGAAGAATGATCTGGAACCATCAACCTTAGCAAATATTTCCTTCAAATCTTGCCAAACCGAAGCGGCACTAGACGCGAAAACAATCCCAACCGAGAGCTCCTTGCTTACTGTATTGAGGATCCAGGATAAGACGAGAGCATTACACCTCTCCCTTTGTGGATGTAAGGATTCGTCAAAATCTTCTCTTCGGCAATCACCGGTGACAAAGCCTAATTTGTTCTTCGCAAGCAGAGCAATCTTCATCGACCGACTCCATACATCATAGTTCTCGATACCGAGAAGCTGATGCGAAACAAGAAGAAAGCCTAGTGCATCGAAGGCATGCAAGAACAAAGAGTGATTGAAATCAATGGTTGAATTTTCCATGGCTACGAAGGATGAGAAAAGGGAAGAAAAAATCCCTAAATCAGTTTTGACTGGAAAAAAAAAGTCACGAGAAGCTGACTGACTCATGATACCATGTTAAAAGGTATTTTTACAGAAAATGTGCTCCAACTCTTTTATTCATCATAATCATAGTTTATAAAACTAAAGCCTATATATACAACCACTAGCAGTTATTAGCTTAACTAACAAACTAACATATTAACAACAGCCTAACTAACTAAATAACTGAAAACTAACAATTGATGCCATTTGTGAAGCAGCGTGGATTAAGTCATTGTTAACAGAGCTTAGTATCCATATTACATCTACACCTGTTATTTGGTGGGATAACACCAGTGCGATTGCACATCCGGCCAACCCGGTGCATCATGCTAAACTCAACCATGTTGAGCTTAACTTGTGTTTCGTAAGGGAAAAAGTCATGGATGGTTCATTTCAAATCAACTATGTGCCAAGAGTCGATCAAATTGATGATGTTCTAACCAAATATTTTTCTACTCCGTTTTTTGTTCGACTCGGGGAACAACTTCGCATTGTATTTGCATAAGAGTTGAGACTACAGACTGTTAATAATGTTTTTCTTTATCAACAATATGAAGAAGTATAGTATAAAAGGTTTAGAAGAGGGAGGAAAATAGGAAGTACGTAAGAGTATGATAAGGTTGTTTAATTGTGTAAATCCGTTTATGTTAAAGGGTAGCTTAGTTTGTCATAAGGTTAGTTAATGGTTTCTGTTTTATGGTTACAAAGTTGATTACTGTGTAGAGAAGTATATATAAACCTTTAAGATCTTTATTAATAAGATGGATTGATTCTAAAGTATTTTTCATAAGATCATTTTATATCTTTCAGTTCCACTCCTAAATATTAAATATAGGTGTCACATTTCAACTTAGCTATGAACAACCCAGAGGTGGCATTATCTACCGTAATCAAAGGGAATCTTGATTTTCTTTTTCCTGAGATCTAGGACCACTTCCTACTAGCTCCGCTCGATTTGGAAAGATTGCTAACTCATGCTTACGTACATGGATGAAATAAGGTATTTATTTATGTGATCTCTGAAAGAGAGAGTTATCTACATCATCTTAAAGGTAACCTTCGCTGAAATTTGATTCTCATCTTCCATGGCTATGGGGCAGCAACATTTTGGTCCAAAAACAAAATTGCTGTTCGAGCAAAACTGGTAGGCTAGCTTAACTTTCCACTGCCTCCGCAGGTTGTACATGATCGAGTGGAGGAACATTTTGTACAGTAGCTCCATTTCTTGGGAAGCCTGAAATGAAGATTAAAGCTCAAATGCTCAACATAACATCTCAACCAATATGAATACATACAATACAGGGGGAGAAATAATGAGGAAATATATAGATATACCCAGCTGTGTATCGAGTGGCCATATTCTTTGCAGTCAGTCTCGCCTTTTCAGCTCTTTCTTCTGACATTTTCTTCAACACAAATCCCTCACCTTTACACTCTGAACAGATCCCAGAACCCCCACAATCTTCACATGGTCTCGAAGGAACCTTCAATTTAAAAGGTAAAAAACAAAGGTGAAGAAGCAAAAGGAAAATTTTGAGGAAAATTTTACTTGTTTCGATGTTTTAGAAACCAAAGTTTCTAAAATTTGAGGAAACATGAAGTACTAACCTCAGTTGCATCAGAGGCTTTGGTTCTCCTAGCAAGAAATGTTGCTGCACCGCCCACAACTGCTGCAGCAATGGCTACTGAAGCAGCCGTTTCTGGCAACGCCGGAGATCGTGTGGATAATTTTAATTTTCGTCTGTGTTCTTTTGGTTTCGCATTAATCAAGGAACAGGCTCTATAATCTAGTGCACTCTGGACTTTTGACCTTGAATCTCCAAATGCTGCACAGAATCAGAAGAAGGAAATACTGCACTTATCTACATAAATTGTTCAGGGATAAAGCTTACGTAACCAGAACTCTTTTACTTTATATCATCCATAGTTTATCAATCAAATTAACTCAAGCAAATTGACAATTTGCCACAATTCATCCATCAAAATCATCAACCACATAACTCTCCAACAACATGGGTAAACTGCCTTCTGTGGGATAACATGAAATGAAAATAATGCAGACTGCATAGAGATTGTCTTCAACAATAAAACTGCTTGCTAAATATCATGAGAGCTATCTAATCAAATCCAAAATCCAGTTTAAAGAACAGAACAGACGGGAAACCAGAGCCCAATTCGCAGCGGAAATGAATCTTGTTTCCATCTTACTCAAAAGCATCTAAGCTCTACATATAAAGCGTAAAACAGAAGATTCAATCCAAAGAACTCACTCCACCCGTCAATAAAAGAATTCACCTTGAAACAATAATCTCCAATTAACACTAACCCTAATGTCTCCACCCCCAACCTACCCAAACCCTATTTGTGTTCCTTTCACCAGCCACAACTAAAAACCAACTTCAAGCAACCATCAGTAGCTCAAGTAATTGCACCATTAAATCACAAACCTTTCCTCATAAAGAAGACAATGAACGATCAATGGAGTTTTTTGAAACAACACCAGAAACCTACCCGCAGTTGACCCATAGAAATTCATATATTCAGATAAAGCAACAACCCTGTGGAACTCTTTAATGGGTACTTGTCAATTTTTCATTAGAGGGGTTCTCGTTGCTTCAAAATTTAAGTGCAACTACGACAACTAACTACTGTCAGTTAGTTCCATAAAGCTTGAGTGGTTAAGTTCATAATGAAGAGAAATAAAGAAGAAGAAAAAGGCCCATCACTCATTCTTAAGCATATAGATAAATGAGACTCCATAGTTTGTTGAGACTTACTCTTGCAGTAGGATGCGAACGTTAAAGAGTGAAATGAGAGCTCCATTTGAAAAGGGCCTTCTGCTTCAGCTAAGGCCTAAGAGAACAAAACAACTGTTTCTTTTTTTTCTTTTTTTGAGTCTCAAGTCCCTTATCTACGCTGTCGTATAAAATTTCATGTTCACCCTCGATGAACAATATAATTTCGTAAAGTACCATCCAGATCGACCTACCTAACAATTACAATCCTAAGTTGTCACTGAATATAGCTTTAATGTTAAAACTTCAAATCTTAACGTGCATCAGCGATTCAGCATGCATTTAATTGAAGGGGCACAAACTTTAGACATCCATTCAATATACATGGGCAAGAAGCATCAAGATACATAGACAAAACGTGAAACTAGTCTCCAATTTGCACCCCCGGAAAATTACCGGACTGGTTGAGAAATTACTCCCACAAAGTAAATGCATCTAAATTAATAAATGTCAACACCACTAAACATTAAATCCTTTAAATTTTGACATCAAGACCCCTTCTCTACGTTCATTTAACACTGCACCTTCTCTCACCTACTGCTAAATAAGCAACTCCACCGGTTACTTATTTTGGTAGCAACACTGCCAACCAGCCCCCAATTAATTATACCGAGTGAACACGAAAATAATTGTTTATGTCATGAAAACAAAAAGCAATATAGGTGAGTTATCTTCACGGTTTTGAATAACAGCCTTTGTGTAGGTTAGCTTGGATTTTCGCCTAACAGATATATTGGACATGTGTCCTATATATATTTAGTGTATTCATTAAAGCAGAGCAAGATTTCAGCTTTAGATGACCAAAAGTAACCCAGATATATCAAGCTTTTACGTAATGCTTGAGATTTGCTATCTTTCATTAATGGAGAGTTGAGCTTAAAGACCTACTACATTACATCAACCCATCAAATGCAGCCACCAAATTTATATGAAGATTCAGTTCTAGTTGCCACCTAATTGATTTTCTTATTTATCCCAGCAGAAGATGCATATGTTTTTCTTTTTCTGGATGCAGGGGCGGAGCCCCTTAGGGCCCAAAGGGCCCCGGCTAGGGCTGTAAATGAGACGAGATAGATCGCGAGTTACTCGAGATCGACTCGGTCAAGGCTCGATAAATATTCGGATCGAATTGACTCGACTCGAATTCTTAACGAGCCGAAACGAGCTACTTGATACTCAACTCGAAAAGCTCGTGAGAAGCTCGAAAATATAATATATTAAGATTTTATTTTAAAAAAAATAAATTATTAATAATATTAACATTTATGTGTTGAATTTTTTTAAAAATACAATAAGGTTTTCACGTATTTAAGGTTCAGGTTCGAGTTCGAGTATTCAATCTTGTTAAGTTTAAGTTTTTTTTTTTTCAATTCGAGCCTTTTCGAGCTGCTCACGAGCTTCAGTTCAGGATTTCTAGTTCGAGTCGAGCTTAAAAATTTTAAACTCGCGAGTTTTCGAGTCGAGCTACATTTCATAGTTTTCGAGTCGAGTCGAGCTCAACAATACTCGAGCTCGACTCGACTCGTTTATACCCCTAGCCCCGGCCCCTGTAAAATTATTTTATGTTCGATAAATTTTGATCTATAGTATTTTGGTTAATGTAAAATTAAGTATTTAAATTAAGAAATATAATAATTTATTAGATATTTAATCAAGTAGGGGCGAGCTAAAGAATGATAATCCAATACCAACAATCGGTTGGTCTAGCGGGATGAGGCACTAAATCCCTTAAGGTCAATGGTCGTCCTCTCCTATGTAGTACTTGATCCGAATTAGTTGACCAATAGATTAGAAACCGATGGTTATACAAAAAGAAAAAATGGTAATTCAATGTTCTCAATTTTTTGGTTTAATAACAATTTAGGTCATTATAAATTTAATTATTAGATAAATTAAACATTATTTTTGAATTGTAAGTTTAAATACTTAGTAAGTCATTGTATTTTTTTTAAAATTTTAATATTTTAACCCATGTTTATATCTAAATCTAGCTCCGGCCCTGACTGGATGGACTGTTAAATGACAATAATAATATACAACGATTGGTATTATTGATATTGATGAAGAGGCGAGCAACAATAAACACCAGAATTTAAAGAAGCTTCAGCTTGTCTGTGCTACCGCTCCTAAATATGACCAACAGAATTATTGGTCGGTTTCTGAATATTATTTATTGTTACATTTTTTTCCTTTTGAAATGTATTTTTTATGGCAACAACTCATATTAGAATTATCAAAAGATCATAGATTTTAGGCCATATTATCAACTTTTAAAGATATCAAAAAAAATTGAATTAAAAGAATACTATTACAATGAAATACTAAGTGCGAATAAAAGCAGGACCATGAAGGTCACAAACAAGATGAGATATTATCTCCTGGGGAGGTTCTATGTATATGCATGGTTGATCATTTGTAACGGCGGTAGATTTTGCAAGGAAGTCTTCTGCAGCATTGATTTCACGACGTATGAGAATGAATTCAATCTTCAATTGTTTTGAAATAAGATTCGCGATAGATCAGACAAGTGACATGGAGCTGGAAGCGGCCGTTGGAGAAGTCACAAGTGTAAGAGCTTCCGCACAGTCCGTTTGGCATCGAAGACTTTTAAAGATATCAAAAAATTATTATACACTCATCCATATCTAATATCTCTCTAATTCCATTTAAATTTAATTCAATTATTTAAAAAAAAACTTGAACTGTTAAAGAAACTAAAATGAAACAAACATGTAGATCAGTATTCAGGGAAGGGAATATTATAAAAAAACTCTAATTTATATACAATAATTTAAAAAAGAATAAAAATTTCTAAAACAAAAAAAATATTGTCCTGTACTACATCTATTTTACTTCTTTTATTGGTGACTAGAAATACAATTTTTTAGGATTAAAATGTAAGTTTATTACTCCATTAGTTGAAGCTTGAACATGAGGATGGTAGTAATTGGATTTCTTGTTGCATGTAATAAGTCTAATGAACCGTCCAGATTGAAATTCTTGAAGAAACTCTGTAGGACTAGATTAAGGGCATTTGATATGAAGCAATAAAAGAATCTCACGGGCATCCCAATACGTAGCAGCAATAAAAAGAGGTAGCCAACCCACCTCGCCAACTCAGCATGGCATCAATCTTGGAACCTAATGCAATGACTTGTGTCATTACCCTCTTGTTTATTTTCAGTGTTAGGGTATAAGATTGATTCAACTATAAGTCTATAATTAGTTAGATTTGGTTAATAGTTGGATATGTTTTGGGTTATATAAACCCATTTGTTGTAAGTGGGCTATCAGGTTGTATTGCAATTTACTTCAATTCAAAGTATACTTTTAGTATTTTCTCTCCTCTATATTCGTTTTAGTCAATTACTACACCCTACCCGTTTAACTCTTCATTCAACACCACCGACACATCTCCGGCCACCATGACTGCATTCTCACAGTCAGCTACTCACGAGCCTATTTAATAACACCTGTCTCTTTGCAAATCCTCTCTACGACAAGACACGCAAAAGGAACCGAAGAAACAGTTGGATCCGTCCCTCCACAATGTCTGCCACAAAATGCTGCATCATTTTCTTCTTCATGTTTTCTACTTCTTGGGATGTCGCTATGAGCGGTCGTTATATCCCATCTAGTGTTCCCAGCACAATGAAGCCTACATCCATTGATTATGTGAAGATCAATCCACAAGTACTACTGAATCACAAGCGCAAGGTCAACCATGACAACCAAGTCAAGGTCTGCATGCCAAAAGGCCTTCGCCATTCCTCGGCTCCAAGTCGTTATGTCAACTATCAAACTCTTGGCTCTGCTTGTGCTACAAAACCCCACTGATCTCATCATACCTCATGCTTTTGTCGGATTCATTTTCAGAGAAACCACGTAAGTTAATGATATGAGTTCAGCTTATATATAATGTCCCTGTCTTTGGCCTTATATGTATGTTTTTTTTTATAAGTAAGATTTTATTATCCATAAGAACAGAACTACAGATCGTCCCAACGGGAGAATAAACAATTTACAACAAAATAATGGTTAGTCTATTCCCCAATTACAGCAGATAGTATAGTTACAAAAATCGTTTCTATTGATCTTCTTCCCACTAAGTTGAATCCGAACAATGTCCTTGTTGAGAGACAGAAGATGAGCAGCTTCTCTAGTTTTATGTTTGAAGATTCTTCTATTCCTCTCCTCCCAAATCATATAGATGTAGGAAGTCCATATAATTTTCAGCAAGGTGGAGATTAAAGATTTTCCCTTCCATTCAACACAAGCCCATTCGATCATTTCTTCCCAAGGTAAATGAGGTTTGTGCACATGTGCCAAATTTAAGATAGAATTCCACAATAATTTGGCAAAGTTACAGTTAGCAAAAAGATGGTTCTTGGATTCGATAGCTTCATTGCAAAGAACACATTGAGTATCAATGGCAATACCCATCCTTGACAGTCTATCTCTAGTTAGAAGTATGTCAAGGATGGCCATCCAAGAGATCATACTAAACTTAGGGATATGCATAGGAAACCAAATGATTATATGTATGTTTTTGCCAACATTCTTTAGTCCTTTTTTACAGGAAAAAATCTAAGATATATTAACTATAGGATTAGTTCGGTCATTAATCCATTGTTATTAACGATTCGCTACCGAAAGCTATTCGATTAGCTTATGCCTTTTTGAAACCATGAACCAATCTTCGATCGGTTGTATGAGTGATAGAACGCTCAGATAATAAAGATTGGTAGTCGGCCGAAAATAACTATGAAGGGTTTTTTTTTTTTTTCTTTTTGAAGTTTAAAGTTTAAGATTGAAGTGCTAAATCCAAATAAAATGCAATAATTAGGAAAGATAAAATTGTTGCTAAACCTACACAACATAAGCTAACAATACAAATCATCATCCAGCAGCGGCCGTTGAAAATGGAAGCTGGTAAACCTGTGTTACTATCCGTGAATATCTGCATCACTAAACACCTATTTGAGCAAATTTCATTGACGCAATGTGCGGACCTAATCTCTGCCACTTCATCCTCTACGTCTTCTTCTTTCCATCAATATTTACTGGACA